GTGGGTAGGCAGGGTCGCAGTCTCTCCGTCTCTCCCTCTCTCCCTCTCTCCCTCTCTCCCTCTCTCCCTCTCTCCCTCTCTCTTTTTGTTGGTGTTGGCGCTAGGGTCCTTTCTTATTATGTGACCAGCTTTGCTGGCATTACACTTGGCTTATTTTGAGGTTCAGAGCCTGCTGACTTCAGTTAGATTAAAGGCATAAGGAAGAGGTAAAGAGAGTGGAGGAGTGCCTCAGGCTCTAAAATAGATACTGCCTTTCATTCAAGTTCCTGGGAAGTGCTAGGGGAATAAATACTGCCAGACAAACATAGTATTATTGAGTAAAAGGTCGGGGGAGGAGTCTGTTGGTGAGTTTGTGCAGCTCAGAATATTATGTTTATTAAGAAAGTATCAGTATCATTAATAACTTTTAATATATGAATACAATGTTGATTGTTTTCTTTTGTTGTGTTTTTCAGGGTCTCATGACTCCTTTAGCTTCTACATTGATGAAGCCTCTCCAGTTGGGCCTGAACAGCCAGAAACCGTCCAGAACTTTGTCTCTGTATTTGGGACTGTGGCTAAAAAACTGATGAGGAAGTGGTTGGCTACACAGACAATGAACTTTACTAGCCAGCTGGGGGCAGGTATACGATATTTTGATCTTAGAATTTCCACTAAACCCAGAGACCCAGACAATGAACTCTACTTTGCTCATGGTTTATTCAGTGCCAAAGTCAGTGAGGGCCTGGAAGAGATCAATGCATTTCTCACTGACCACCCAAAAGAAGTGGTCTTCTTGGACTTCAATCATTTCTATGGGATGCAGAAATATCATCATGAAAAGCTTGTCCAAATGCTCAAAGACACATACGGAAACAAAATGTGTCCTGCTATATTTGCCCACGAAGTAAGCCTCCAGTACCTCTGGGAAAAGGAGCACCAAGTGTTGGTGTTTTATCACAGTCCGGTGGCTCTTGAGGTACCGTTTCTTTGGCCAGGTCAGATGATGCCAGCACCCTGGGCAAACACAACAGACCCAGAAAAACTGATTCAGTTTCTCCAGGCATCAATCACCGAAAGAAGAAAGAAGGGCTCCTTTTTTATATCTCAAGTAGTGCTGACGCCAAAGGCTAGTACAGTGGTGAAGGGGGTTGCTAGTGGTCTCAGAGAAACAATCACAGAAAGGTAAGTTTCTGGAAGGTAAGGTGTGTTTTTACTGTGCTGAATCTGTGTTGGTAACACTGCTTTTCTAATTCTTTTCAAAGAGAAACTAGCAGGTGTGTTTCCTTCTTCCATGGTACTGTGGGTTAGAGTGAGAATTTAGGCATAATCTGAAAGTATTTAAAGAGAAGCATGTTGAAGGGGAAGCTTTTGTATCTTGAAAGAAAATCTGGGGCTAAAGCCTGATGAGATCTGACAGGATTGGCTTTATATATATATATATATATTTTTAAAGCTCTCCTGAATGCAGCTTTTTCTTTTGTTTCAGATTTGGTTTCTTACCATGAGCACTGAACATCTTCCTTCAGGTTACCTTATTGGATGTGGGCAAATCTATCTAAAAGATCTAGAACTTAAGTTTTGATTTATGTAGCAAGTTTCAGGTATTAGGTCAATCATTACCTGTTTTGGCTCTTCACCAAAGCCTGACAGTGCAGAACCTCCATCCTTAATTACCTCTGGGTAGCTTAAGGAGACATGACTTCTTTCTCCACATATCATCACACACTATATTAAAGGTGTCAGGACACCCTTAGAGTGTATTTGCCTCCTAACAGCATCATACCGATTTCCTGAGGGAAGACTCTCTGCAGACCATTGTAGTGGTTGTGTAGATGGAATACTGTGCTGACAGGCCATTAGTTATTACGTTACAAAAACCACTGTCCATGCAAGATACACATTTTGACTTTGAAAAATCAGAGGAAATTTTCAGCTGAAAGGCATTATGTTCTTGGCAACTTTGTGGGAAACCTGAAATTTAACGCCAACGCATAACATCTTTTTCTAAACAACAGCAACAATAACAAAAGTTGCAAAGTGGAACATTTCATAATGGGGATCAATGGCCTGTTAATGTTCTCTGGATAGATGTGCCTGTGCCAGGAAGGTCTATCGGGAATGCTATCTCCTGGTAGATGATGAATGGCCCAATGACTGTGACATTACACCCTGCAAAGAAAACATGCCTTTTTTCAGAAGTGCTTAACCCTTTGTATGACGGCTTTCCCAAGTGAGCGTAGACTAGAAAAAACAGGGTTAAACTTCACCTGAAATGATAAAACAGCAACACAAAAGGTTTTATAAGCAGTTGAATATGAATCAGAAATGCCTGTGCAAATGTACTTCTGGCTGTTCATGTAGCCTCCTCCTATGTATTTATAGACTCCATTTGTCTGGGGATCTTCCTCACTGGTGGGTCTGAAGAGCACTTCCCTGTACTGAAATTCTACTTTGACTGTGGATTTTACTGTTAAAAGCTCATCTGGTTTGGAGAGCTTGTTCTTCTATCGTGTTCTCTGCTAAACAGCTCTCTGTGTGTTCTTAACAGTATGAGGTAGCACAGCTGAGAAATTACTTTTTTTTTACACTAGCTGGTCACACCCTCCCCCTTCCCTTTCTTCTTTCCTCTCCAGCTCATAATGTGCTTCCTTGGAGCTGTTGGGGGGTGTGGGGGGGTGGGGGGATAAAAACTACAAAAGGATTCTGGATGTGTTTGGTTCAGTTTTGAATGACTTGAACCTTTGAACTCTGTGTATCTCTTGTCTACAGCAAATTTTGAGTTTTTCACCAACTTACTTGCAATGTCAGTAAATAATAGGGCAGGAATACCTGGCAATATCGTTTTTTGAAATTGTAACTGGGATTTTCACAAATTCTAAAAACTTCTTTTTTCTTTCTTTGCCTAGCTCTTAACTATTACAAAAGACATAGACTTTCAGAACTATCTCCAGAACTAGTATTTTGCCTCCAAAGTGCGGTGTCATTATGAAAGCCTGCTACTCACTACAAAAATACACTGCAGGAAGACATGGGCTTGGAATATATGTTAATCTACAGGGTAACTGAGTTCATATATTGAGCTTGCTTAGATAGCTACTCTGAAAGTAAGCATCAAGTATACTCCAAATCATTCCTCATGTGATGAAGATCCTATTAAACAGATGAGCAATTCAAGGATGCCAAGCAATTGCTAGAATTTACAAAATTCTCTCCAATTTTACAGCATTCATATTTCAGTAATGTAAAAGTATGTAATCCATATTAAAATAACTAGGGCATATGTTCCAGCTGTACTGTTTGCTACTTTGAACCATCTAATTTTTTTGTAAAAACATTTTTTTGTTCTTTTCATAATAAATACATAGCTCAGATTCCGTTCTTGTGTCCAGGTAGAGAAAACATACGCTTTTATTTGCAGTCACTTTATAGATTTATAGATTTTTATACCATTTTACTGGTTATCAATAGATGCTGGCTAGCAGCTTCACACTGAGAATGTAACATGTTGGTTTTGGCAGCAGTTTTGTAACTGTAGTGGGACAGGTTTCCCTTCCCCCCACCTTTTTCTTTTTGGCAAACTTGGTCTTCATTGAATTTTTGGAAGATCTGAACGTGGATCGTTCCGGAAGATCTGCCTGTGGGATAAAGCTTTATTTATCAAAGAAGTCTACCCCCCGCCCCTAATTACGTATTTTATTTAAGAAATAGTTCTTTTTGGCATTTTCAAAGAAAACCCTTGGTTGTCTCTCTCTTTCCCCTCCACACAGTGATTTATTTGCATTTCAGTTTTAACTTAGTTCTGAAAACAGAGTGAAGTTTGGATCCTTTTAGATCCAATGAGACATACCAGATTTTGATCTCTGAGGTTTTTGTTACTCATGAAATTATTTAAGATTTTTAAGAGCAGTGGCCTGCTGAGAGGGGAAAGTGTTTCTCTGAGTTGCAGCGTCCATCAGACCAGGAAAACTGAAAGCTGACGCCGTGCAGCAGTCCATACTCCTCCTTGTTGCTTTGCGGGCTGCATCATGAAAGAAAGTAGTGAAATCTCCCTGCGCAGCCCCGGTGAGGTGGTGAGTGGAATATCGCCTGTCCACGAGGCTGCTCCTTGTGGCAGCCGAGCAGTCTCCGAGGGCAGCGGATGCTCGCTGGTGACGCTCATCAGCCCGTTTCAGAAATGGAAAATGATTTTATTCCCAACTTTGTTCCCCACACCATGGTGACAGGTGTGCTAGATGGGAGGCCCATGGTAACCTAGATAAAAGGAGTTCCAAACCCTCCTAAGATTAAATTCAACAGAAGATATATACAGATAGGACTGTTTCTTACTGATAATGATTGCTCACTGGCTTTCCGGCTGTTATCACATATGATACTCAGTGGGATAATAATTTGAAAGAAGGTGAAATTATAATGTCATCCGGCTTTCTGTCCTGCACAAATACAAAGGAAAAAAGCCATTTCTTAGAAGCTCTTCCTAGCGCCACCACCTCACTGTTAGAAAACTTTATACTACGGCTTTTACCTTCGCTGTAGGAATGAGGAGAATTTGTCACATGCTCGTGCGTTGTGTGTCTTGGATTTGATGAAAACTTTGAGGACTAACAGTATGTTTTCAGACTTAACATTCTGTCATGCACGGTGTACATGCCAAGAAACGTTCTTTGATTAGCAAACAATACACACCAAATGAATTACATTCCCTCTGCTTATTGAATTAGCTTCACAGTGAGGCAACTGCCTTTAGTACATCTGAAAGACGGTTGTGAAACAACCTTTTTGAGTGTAGAGCTGTTCTTCATATTAATTTAGTCTGTTTTCTGATTTGCAGCGATAACACTAATTTTATCTCTGCCTGGTCAATGACACTGGAGACAATAATGATATTCTCCTCTTTGTTGTCTCTGAGGTTGAATAATACAGAATTATGTAGAGGACACAGAAATGTTGAAGTACTTTTTGAGGGTTTTGAGGAATAGAAAATAAACAGATACCCAGCCTATTGTCAAATTAGTCTCTATGGATAATGTTCCTGGCAGCTCACATGTGACTAAGTCCTTGCCCACCACACTAAAGCTTCCCCCTTAGCAACCAAAAAAAAAAAAAAATCCTGCACATGAGAAGCTTTGAAGTGGAGGCAAAACACAGACAGTATTAACAAAAGGGGTGGTAAGTAGGCCAGAGAAGCTGTCTGGAGAAAAGCTATCGCTGGGTGCAGTCATAAACGAAGCAGGGTCAGATTTAGCTGGCAAATAGGTGGATATTAAAGGAAAAATAATCCCAGAACTTGCAAGGAATGAGATTTTTGAATCATTTACTGGGGTGAAGGAGCTCTCCTCCTCCAAGACGTATCTCAGCCGGCTTAGTTTTTCAGAATTTCTGTGATGCTGGAAGAGTGGGATTTTGTGATGTTTCTTAATCCATAGTTGGTACTGATGCCATTTTAAAATTATTTTATGTGGAAAAACAAACAGCAGCAGAAATGTTAAGTATATTTTGCTAATTAGGTAGGCATCCTGCCTGCCTGCCTTGTTGTCTATCTACATTATGAAGTGCAGGAGAGCAGCAAGTTTAGAGGAGCTGGTTAGGGGTTGGGACTGAGCGTAGCCATAGCAGCGCAGGTGCTGGGTGAGGCCTTTCACTGCCAAGAAGCAAGTGTAAGCTCGGTCCCTCATCAACGTATATGGTACCAGCACCCTTGTTCCTCGTTACGTTTGACTTTGGAGGCTGCTATCCTTTCTTTCACATGGTGCAAACTGTTGTTGAATATTCTAGGATATTACTATGGACTTTAAAATTACACCGTGAGATGTAAAGCCTTACTATTTCCATTCTCCTGTCAACTATCCTAATTATTATTTTAGTCCATCCAGACAAGAGGCAATCGCTATATTTTTACACAAATGTGCACAGGGAGACCTTGACTTTGTGGATGTTCAGTCTGATTTTACTGGCAGACATTTTAGTGGCATTTCATCATCAGAGAGCATCTGTGTGGACAAGGATTTCAGCATAGTGTTCCCCTGGGAAGTGTTAGTTGGTGGTGTCTCATGGCGTTGTCTGGTCTTGAGCCTGGAAGAGTATTAAAATACCACAAAATGCAAGAGCACAGGATTTTTAATAACTGTGTCAGGGAAAAGCATGTATCTAAATACATACTAACAGCCTGCGGGATTTAGTCTACA